AGCCTCTCTCCGCTCGTGGCTCCCCCCTCCCTAGCTTGCCCCTGGGGGCAGCCCCCTTACCTTCTGGGTAGTGAAGGGCGGGTAGGATGCCCGGAGAAGGGGCAGGGCTGCAGGTCGGGGCTGGAGGAGCAGGAAGGTCTCAGAACGGGAGGCCAGTGAGGAGTTGACAGGAGGATAGCGTCCAATCTGCTGTAGGCGGAAATACTCTGGGGCATCTAAGAGTTCCAGTGTGGCTGGCAGGTAGACAGGGTCAGGCAGCTCAGTGTCCCCGCTCCCTGAAAGGGGAAAGAGCAGAGAGGACAGACAGAGGCTGAGCAGGGTGGGGGCAGAGGAGGCCACTGGGCCATGTGAGCAGAGAGGCCTTCCCAAGTGGAAGCCTGGACTTAGTTCAGAATCACAGAATCGTAGCGCCTGAGGGGCCTTACCAGGCATCTCGTACAAGCCACACCCGAGCCAGAGGTCCGCCTGTAACAGCCTGTGTTGTCAGTTTGCAGTGACGGGGAACTCACTACTTCCCTAGACAATCCACTCAGGTTAGACCTAAGGGCAGCGGGGTTAGGCATGAGGGGCCCTTGGGCCACACTTCTTCTCCCAGTCTGACGTCCAGACTGTTCCATCCTTGTCCCTTATAACTCATTGTGTTCCTCCCTCCATGTCCCATGCTGCTTCCCTGAGCTTCCCTTCTTCTGGCTGACCTGGGAAGGCAAGATTAGTGTGGCTCCTGAGATCTTGTGGGACCCTTCTCCTCGGAAATTACAACGATTGCCATCTCTGTAGGGCCTTCTTCACAACCCCTCCCACTCCCGTTAGGGAGGCAGTGAAATCATTATTATTATCTCCATTTATCAGACAAGGAAACAGGCTCAGAACAGGGCAAGAACTAAGGGGACGTGGGCGAGATTCAGGAGCAAGGGATTATCAAGAACACCCTCTCCCTTGAGGCTGGGGATGCCTGCCCTTCTAGAAGGTGGGACTGGCAAGAACATAGGGTCGCAAGACCCGACTTTTAGTTCTGGCTAGACAAGGGAGGCATGGCTTGACATTAGCGCATCTGGGGGGAAAAAACCCTGGGGGTCTTAGTGGACCGCAAACTCAACGCTCATCAAGAATGGGATATGGCACCCAAAAAGATGACGTAATTTAAGGCTGCCTTACGAAAGGCCTGGAGCCCAGGACTAGGGAGACGGGAGTCCTGCCATCCTCTGCCCTGGTCAGACCTCATCATGGGGAGCCGGAGAATGTCCAAGGGAGGGCAGCCAGGAGGTGGAACGGCTTTGAGTCCAGGCCATGTTTGCATGGGTTTGGCCAGAAAGGAAGACTTGGGGGAAACAATAACTGACTTTGAGTATCTGAAGGATCGTCACTTTGTTCTATGTGGTGCCGGAGGAGGTGATGGGGAACTATGGCTCGAAGTGACAAAGGGGGAAACTGAGGCCTGATGTCAGGAAAAACTTCCTCATGATGTGAGCTTTCCGAAGCAGGTGGAAGGTGGAAGATTTCAGGTAAAGTCTAGATGCTGCCCCCCCCCCCACCAGCCCTTTCAGGGATTTGGCTACAAGGGAATCCTTGTTCAGGGTCAGGCTGGGCCAGAAGGCTGCATGGGCAGCTTTTTCTGAGCCTCAACTTTCCTGTCTGTAAAGAGGGGATAATAACACCTGCCACCCCTGCCTCCAGGGTGAGTGGTGGGGCGGACCCAATGCCAGGGGGCCTGATGCATGGCCTGCCCAAGTGCCAGGGTCTGGAAGGAGGGGAGCAGGTGGCTGAAAGATGCCACCTCTTGATCTCAGTGCCCTCCAAGGAGGGCGGCCCTGTCTGGGATGGCGTGCCTGGGCCTGAGAACTTGCCCTCCCTTTCTCCCTGCTCCAGGCCCGGCAGCCAAGTGTGTAACAGGTGGATGGTCCTGTAGAGGCCCCTCTGCCCCTCCCTCCTCCCTCCCAGCCAGCTGCATTTCCCAGCTTTGGATGAGGAGCTTCCAACCCCACCCCCTAGACCTCCTGCTCCCTCCCCAGCTGGTGTTAACTCCGACCAGGTTACTCTCCACGTTTCCCATCTGCCCCGGAACGGGATCATCCTGCTGAGTTCCCTGGGGAAGGCTCGAGGACCTCCAGCCACAGCTCTGCCCTCCTCATCACGTCATATCGAGAAACAGAGTCGATATTCCCTGCCCCATCCACAAAGACATCATGGTCCCTCAGGGAGGAAGGGGCTCTCCCCAGTACATCTGAGCTTCCCCAAGTAGCAATTTACAGGGCAGGCAATCACAGGCTTCTAAACTGCTTTACCTCATTTGTCTAACAGGTGGGTGGTGGCCTCCTCCTCCCTGAAGGTGATATTCACCCTCTTTCTTGCCTTCCTTCCTACTAGGAAGCAAAGGACCAGTGAAGACAGAGTGGAAGGGCTCCTGAGGGGAATGACTGCTGTCCCACGGGCCCTCCCAGGAGCGGAAGGCACAAGAGACCAGCTATTGGAGGCAGGGGCAGAATCCAGCGGATGCTCCCTCCACAGAAAATGTAGGGGGAGGGGGACATCCAGGAGCTAGGGCCCTTGGAAGGACACTGAGCAGCCCAGACCAACGTATTTGCCTAGGGTGAAAGCTGAGAAAGAAGTCAGAGATACCCGCGGCATCTGGGAAAAGAAGGGTCAGACCCCAGAAGCCTGAGACATCTGGGGGAAAGAAAGGTTGGACCCAAAGGCCAGAAGTATCTGAGGGAGCGAATGATCAGACCCCCAAAGGAAAAGAATAATAGGACCCCTGGAGCACAGAAATGTCTGGGGAAAAGAATGATGACTTCCAGAGGCCAGAGGTGTCCCGGGGAAAGAAGGAGGCGGACCCCTAGAGGCCAGAGATGTGTGGGGAAGAAGCACGATCGGACCCCTGGGGGCCAGGTGTTGTCTGGGGGGAAAATGATCGGATCCCCGGAGGCAGAGGTATCTAGGAGAGAAGACAGATCGGACCTCTGGAGGCCAGAGGTCCCAGGGAAGGAAGAAGGCTGCCCTAGACTCGGGGGTCCCAGGGGGTCTCGAGTGGGGAGGGAAGGTGCAGCAGTCAGGTACCCCGGTGTCAGGGGGTTGGGTCAAGGTATAGATGCAAAGGAGATGGGGGAGCAGTGCTGCTGCTCAGCCCCGAAGCCGAGATTCGTCCTCTGGGGCCTCCCGCCCCAGCAGCCCGCGGCAGCCCGCCGAGGGCTCCCCCATTCCGCCCCAGGGGCCCCCCTCACCTCGCACAGTCTTCAGCGCGAGCAGGGCCACCCAGAGGCAGCCGAGCCCGGGGCGCCCGGGGCCCCGCGGAGGAACGCTTCGGGGGCTGCCGGCGCCCATGCTCCCGGCACAGGCTTCAGGGGGCGCCGCTCCGGCCGCCAGGCATGCCCAGACCGCGGTGCCCGCGCTGCCCGCCTGGCCCCGTAGCCCCGGCGCCGCTGCTGCTCCGAGTCGACCAGACAATGGAGCCTGAGCAGGCGGGAGGCGGGGGAGGGACTCAGCCAGGGACGCCCCGCCCCCGACCCGCCGGGTCTTAGCGCCGGGCGCAGCGCCAGCCGCGGGCACAGGGTCCTGGCTCCTCCCCGCCCCCGGCCCCCGCCCGTCGGGGGCCCTGTTCAGGGAGGGGAAACCTACAAGGGTGGGAGGGGGGAGTGGGGGGGAAGGAAACCGACACGAGGGAGGGGAGGGGAGGGGGGAGGGGACCGAGGAGCTGATCCAGGCTTGGGACCGCGGCTTGGGGCGCAGACCCTGGGGACCTCGAGATCGAGGGAGAGAGGGGAGTGTGTGTGTGTGTGTACACAAATGTGTGTGCGCTAGGAGAGCACCTGGAGAGGGAAGGCTTGTCCTAGACGTGTGTGTGTGTGTTCTGGGAGGGAAACATTTAGGGGGGTGCACAAATGTGTGTGCAAGAGTGTAGGAGAGAGCATGGGAGAGGAGGCTTGTCCCGGGAAGGGGGTGTGTGTGTAAGAGCGCTAAAAAAGAATATGGGGGGAGGGAACTTTAGTCCCAGGAGGAGGCAGGGGGATAGAAGGGGAGAAGGGCGGTGCAGTACCTGGAGAGGGAAGGCTCGGGGTGTGTGTGTGTGTGTGTGTGTGTGTGTGTGTGTACCAATGTGTGCGTAAGAGCGCTAAAAGAGAATATAGGAGGGAACGTTTGTCACAGGCCTTGGCGGGGGATAAAGGGGGGGGGGAAGGGCTGTGCAGTACCTGGAGACGGAAGGCGTAGGGTGTGTGTGTGTGTACAAATGTGTGCGTAAGAGCGCGGAGAGAACGTTTGTCCCAGGCGGAGGGGGGCGTAGAAGGGAGGGAAGGGCGGTGCAGTAGCTGGAGAGGGAAGGCTTAGGGGTGTGCTTGTTCTAGCTGTGTGTATAGAGAGTAAATGGAAGGACTTGTCCCGAGTGTGTGTGCGTGCTAGGAAGGGAGCATGGGGGGGAAATGTACAAATGTGTGTGCAAGAGCGATAAAAGAGAATACAGGAGGAAACGCTTGTCCCAGGCAGGTGGGAGGGGAGGAAGGGTGGTGCAGTACCTGGAGAGGGGAGGTGGGGGGCGGAGCGCACTTTTGGGAGGTGGCAGGAGGGAAGTTTTGTCCCAGGTAGGGATGTGTTCCTGTACACATTGGGAGGGGGAAGCATCTGGGGAGGGAAGGCTGGGCCCGCCAGGTCAGCCAGCCTGCTGGACTGCTTCCCACCGAGTCCTCAATCTTTCTCGGCCCCAATCCAGGAACCCCCCCCCAACCACCTTTTGTATTGCGCAGGCGCAGGCGCGCGGGGATGAGACGGTCCGGGTGCGCCCCTCCGCGCTAGAGCTCGTTCGTTGGCCGCCGCCGGCTGCGGCAGTCCCTGCCCGGCGCCCTTCTCTAAGCTCCCCCTGGTGGCAGCGGTCGGAACTATTTGGAGTTTCTGCCCCTCTCCCCCTCCCTGGCAATAAGCCTCCCGGCACCCCCAGCTGTGAAAGGAGGAAAATTCAAACCAGGAAAAGGAGAGGTGGGGGTAAGTTAGGAAATCACAAGCAACTCAGAGACTTTGATTAAACATGTTTTATATGGAACAAGATAAAATAGCGTGCATTTATTTTTTAATTTAAAACCCAAAGAGCTTCAATAAAAATAGAGATCACTTGCAGCTGATGCCTCATCAATCCCTGGGCATTTTCCTTCAGGGCACTGTCAGACTGCAGCCCTAACCTGCGCTGGGCCCCCTCACCAGGCTTCATGGCAGAAGCTGCCACTCTCCCCTTGCCCTCACCTCTCCCAGACTCCCGGGTTAGTCACAGGCCTCCTAGCTGGGCAGTGATGCTGGAGGGGAGGGTAACAAGGCAGCTGGTTTCAGGCTGCTATCCCGGTTCTCCTGAAAGAAGAGTTGGGAGCTGGGGGGCGGGGGGGCAGTGTCCAAAATCCCAAGTGGGTTCTGATGGATCCACACCATGGGGCACTTACTCCTTACAGGCCCAGGGGCACTCAATAACCACCAGAACAGACTGGAGAGGCTGCAATACTCCCTAGCTCGCTCAGCGGGGGCTCTTTGGTTGGCATGGTGTCAGGATTCTGGGAGGCTCCTCCTTTCTGGACACCATAATACACATTCCTAACGTACAGCAGGCAAGAAGCAGGCACTGCTGGCTTGATTGAAGGCACTTGTCACAGATTTTACACCCATCCCGGCCCCAAATCTGAATCCCTAAGACCTCAGGGGCTTCTGATTCCAGCCCTCCTCAAGGGACCAGCTCATGTTTCCTCCCCACCAGGTGGCAGTGCACAGGACACATGGGGCTGCCTGCAGGGCATGGGCCAGGAGGGCCAAAGGGAAGCAAGGAAGGGGTCAAAAGCGAGAGGGGCCAGGGGCACCGAAGGCTGGGGTCCCGGGACAGCAGAGAGAAAGAGGCGGGGCATGCTGCACTGAGGCCCGTCCATGCCACTCGTGTCTGGAGGTCTCTGTGAAGGCCATGGCAGTGGTATGTTTTAAGGGTAGGAACGGGAGATGGAGAATGGTCAGACCCTCTCCCAACTCTCCATGGCCCTGCTGGGCTAAGCTTCAGGAACCAATACAACAGAGACCCTCTTAGAAAGAAGGGCCCTGGAGAGGGCAAGAGGGATGGGCAGAGAGCAGGGGAGTCAGCCTTCATCTCCTGGCTGGGGGCAGGCGGAGGGCTCCGGGATCCAGAAGCAGCTCAGCTCTTTGGTGTGATGACACCGGCAGTGACATCCAGGGCTCCTTCGCCTCCGCCCCACACCCCCTCACTCCTCAGCGCTGCGGGTCACCTTGGCGGCTCTGCGCTGCCTCCAGCGGAGCTCTTCCACCTGCCTCTCCAGGCCCCGAACTTTGGCCTCCAGTTGGGCTCCCGAGGCCCGGCTGCCGGTCAGCCGGCTTAGCAGGGCGTACAGGGTCAGCAGCCCCAGCAGCATCAGGGCCCTGATGGAAGGGTCTGGCACAGACCTGACCACGGCCACGAAGCCCACGAGGAAGATGACCAGCTTCAGGCCCCACAGGATGCGGCCCAGCAGAGCCAACAGCAAGCCCAGGAGCAGCGCCAGCACCCAGTAGGCAACGAGGGACCCCACTCCCCACAGGAGGAAGCTCTGTACTTGGCCAGGGCTGAGCTTCAAGCCTTGGGTAAGGTGGTCACCTAGGAGAGGGGGACAGTTAGAGCATTAGCAGAACCCACAGAGAGAGAGTGCCAACAACATGGGGGGGGAAGTTTCTGTCTCCCTCCCCCAAGGAAGAGAAGAACCCCGTTCATGCAGAGGAGAAGCTACCCGTCCCTCAAGGAGTACGCCTATTATTCCAGCCAACCTAGGCCTGGAACCCGCCCCCAGGGCAGCCAGAGGCAGGAGAAGTATCCAAGTGCTTGGAAGCAGAGCTCTGGAACACTCCCACGCCAACCTGCCTCACCCCCTCCAGAATGGCAGAAGCTAGGCCCCTGCTGTCCGGCCTGGCCTACCCAGCCAGTCCTCCCCCTCCTTACCATTCAGCCCCATGGCATTCAGGAGCTGTGCAGAGATCCCAGAGAGAGCGAAGAAAGCCACGGAGATGGCAGAGGAGATGGCCCACAGAGCTTGAGACACGGTCTAGGAGAGAGGAGAGCAGCAGGGCGGATGTGGGGATCGGCTGTGCCTCTCCCCTCCCAGAGGCAGGACCAAAGGAAAGCTCAGGGGCTTTGGGTTCCATCGGCAATAGTTCTAGCTACCTTGAGATGGGGGCCCCCAGACTCAGAGGGCGACTCTCCCAGGATCCAGCTCTATCTACCGAAGGATTTCTTAAGCAGAGCGAGGGGTCTCAAGGGCTCCGTGGAGGAAAGGTCAGAGGTCCGTGAACTTGGCCAGGGCAATAACGACATCTTTATTTTCGCAGACCTCTAGCTGAAATGTAGCATTTCCCTCTTCAATGTTCAAAGCGGGCCACAAACCATAGTAGCATCAGGCTTCATTGGGCTGACTGCCCAAGGGCCAGGACCCGACGGAGGTAGGTGAAGGACCCCTGCCCTAATGTGGGATGATGCCATGCATCCCTCTAGTCTGCCACCAAGGAGGCTCTGGGATGCCAGACCAGTTGCAGCTTGGCTGACGGGCAACAGGTGTAGGAACAAAGGCCTTATTTTATATCTACCAGCACTATAACTGAGGTCATCATGGGCCTGCCTTCTCCCCATGAGAGGGACTCTGGAGGCTTAGGAGGTCATGCCAGTCAAGAACTTCTGAATTTGAAATAGCTAAGCACTCAATGAGCAGGCCTTCTGTTAATATTTACACCATTAACCGATGTTATCAGCCCAGTGTAACTATCCTAGGCATGGACTCCATTTGAGAAAATCTAAATCCTCAGCCCCAAGCCCTCACATCAAATCACTCTTCTCCACCAAGAAAGTGAAGTCTTCGGGTCACAGTCAGATAAACATCAGACTTGACAGGTAAGTAGACTAGTCCAGTGCTCTTCTCCTGCCTTCTTCCCTTAGAGAAGGGAAGGAACCAGGAATGATGAAGGTGGAGCCTGCACCCACTGGGACAGACAACATCAGCTGAAGGGTGGGCTTACACAGACCTGCTGAGCCCCTCTCATGGCATGTGTTCTGAACCCAGAAGCGATGGCTGTAACCTTAACTGGACCTGCCATCCAGTTGCCCCTCTTTGCTCACCAAGCCAGGAAATCTCATCCTTACCTCAGTCACGACATGCATGATCTCGGGCCCGATCCAGGCGTCCATGGTCTCCCGAATAGCTGACCCTGTTTGGGACAGGAAATCAGCTGGGGGGTCCCTCTTCTGCTGTTTTCTGGAATGGAAGTCTTGTTGGCAGCTTGCCATGTGCAGGACAAGGAGGGCCATGAAGGCCACCAAGAGTGCTTTGGGCATAATTCGACCCATCATGAATCCACTGTCCAAGCCCAGCATGGCTCTACCTGCGAAGAAGAAGAAGAAGAGAAGAAGAAGAAGAAGAAGAAGAAGAAGAAGAAGAAGAAGAGGAAGAAGAGGAAGAAGAAGAAGAAGAAGAGGAAGAAGAAGACATTATTATAGATTTGGTCTCTAGAACCCTGTAGAAGTCTTCTCTTCCTCTCTGATGTTTAGCCAGGTGGGCTTACAGACCAAACCCTGATTCTGGAAAAAGACCAGATGCCTGCTGGAAAGGATTCTCAATGAAGAGCATGGGGCCTTGCACTGGAGCCGTATACATGTGCCAGCTAATTCATGGCTCCTCTTTCCCACCTTTCTTTACCCACTGTTGACAACCAACACTACTCAGACAGTGCACAGTGCTAAATTCTGGAGGGGAAAATGCCCTCAGGGAGGTACCTGCCCTCAGGGAGCTCTGAGTCAGGAGTGGGGGGAGGGGTAAGGAAGAAGATGACACCTACACAATGTCTATAACACAAAATGCTACCTAAACCTAGTGCTGCTCAGGGGCCAAGAGTGAGGGGGGCCTCAAGAAGACAGGACATGAGCCTTAAAGGGTAATGGAGACAACTCGTGAGGCATTCCAGGAATGAAGAACAGAGTGCCAACAGCACGGAGGCAGAGGCACTGAGTCCTTGGCTGGCCCTGAGCTGACCTGGGCACAGCGTGGGATAAGGACACAGAGGTGGAGCGGTGTGAGCTCCAGTCATTTCAGTCAGGTCTGATTGACTCTCCGTGACCCCATCTGGAGTCTTCTTGGCAAAGACACTGGAGTGGTTTGCCATTTCCTTCTCTAGCTCATTTTACAGATGAGGCAAGCAGAGTGAAGTGACTTGCTCAGGAAGACAGAGCTAGTGTCTGAGGCCACATCTGAACTCAGGAAGAGGAGTCTTCCTGACTCCAGACCTAGCACTCTGTCCACTGTTCCACCCACCTGCCCTAGAGGGCCTTGAGTACCAAGCTAAGGAGTTCAAACTTGACTTGATTTAATAGAAGGCTATTGCAAAATTCTGGACAGAGATCAGCCAAGTTGAGGCGGGCTGGCAACGATAAGAGATAGTTTAGAGCAGAAGGGCTTCTTAGAAAGCCACGACAGATGGTAATCAACCAGGAGCATTTTTTAACAAGGGTGCCACCGAACCGGCGACAGCGACACATACACATTCCAGACTAGCACATACAGCCAGGGAAGAATCAGGGAACAAAAGCTGGGGCACAAAGAGTATGAAGAATAGCAAAAAGAGCAGACCCAGCCCCTGGGTCCAAGTCCTGGCTGTCACTTACACCTGTCCAACCTCAGGCCAGGCACTTAGCCTCCATGGGGTGGACTCAATGGCCTCGAAGGCTTCTCCAGCTCAACCTCCTCGGCCCAATCAGTCAGAAATTGCCTCCCAAGAACACAGTAGGCCAGATACTACAGTTATTACTATCCTTATTTTACAGATGAGGAAACTGAGGCTCAGAGAAATGATTCGGCCAGAGAAACACAACTGGCAAAAGGCAAGATTTGAACCCAGGGCTTCCTGACTCTCCTCTCAGCATGTCTAAAACTTGGTCCATGTGCCTCAAAGGTTAAGTGGGGCAGCAGATACAATAAGCATGAGGAGTCAGAGGCTGTGAGGGATGACAGAAATTCTCCAGTGTTGTCTGACCCCCCCCCACCCCAGAGGCTAAGGAAAGGAAAGGCCAGAAAGCAGAATGTGGTGAGCTCTCCAGCACCCAGAGTATTCAAGAGCAGAAACTGGAAGCTAGGGGTGATTCACTGAAAGACTTTGGGCCTTGACTCCCCGCCCCAAGCACAGTGTCGGGGGCAAAAAGCACAAAGGACGGCAATCTGTGGGGTGAGGGGGAGCCATGCAAAGGCCTGGAGGTCAGCGCTAGGTCTGCAGCAGCTCTCCTGGAATGCCCAACAGGAACCAGGCAGCCCTCTTCTTCCTCTTCTTCTTCCAGGGGCATGAGGGAGGGAGCCACAAAGGGAACCTGTGTGCTCCAGGGTGTTTCCATGATTCACCTGATACTGAGAGAGGGAGGGACAGCCAAGTTTGCTCGGTTGCCATGGAACTCAAACAATTAGATGGAAATCTCAGCCCAGGAGTGCAGAGAGGAGGGGAAGAAATTGTTTCCCATCTTTCCTGGCTTTGAAGGAAGAGAATCCAGGATGGCCCAGGAACTGCTCTTGCCTCTCCTGCCCGAGGAAGTGATCTCGGGCCTGGGAACAGCTGCTCAAAAAGCAGCCCATGAAGGGGAAGTTGTACTGAGAAAGCCTTTGATTTCGCTGTGTGCCAGGGACAGACGGCCACTGGCTGCCAACACCCAGAAACGGAGGTAAGCCAAAGGCGGCAGCATCTGGGTCACAACAAAGTCAGGAACTTGCAGAGGAGGACTGGGAGCTTGAGTTAAGAACCAGTCTCATAGCCCCCTCCAAGAATGATGGAACAGATGTCACCTCCTCCACTTTGGAAGGTCAGTATGGGCTCAGCCCACAGGATCAGCCGCAGCTTCTAGGGCAGCTGCAGGCATGGAAAGATGTCTGCTAATAGCACCTCCTCTGACACGCCGGCTGCTCCCCATTCTGTCCCCTTCAGCAGCCCCAAGAAACAACCCCTTCCACAACATCCTCAAGCTGTCTGACCATTCCGGTCTAGCCCAGTCTCCTCCTAGGGACACCTAGAGGCAGGAAACATCTGGCAGGAGCTGCTGGCTGCGGTGCCCCACCACCCAAAGAGCCTGTCAGACCTCCTTAAGGACAAGATGCACAGCTTACAGTGCCTCGGGCTCATCTGGAGCACCCAGCCCTGGGCACAGAAGAAACTCAGTGTCTGTCGCTGAATGAGAAAACCTTTAAACTGGGAGGGACCATAGAGCTCCTTGGGTCTCTCTTATTTAGGAGAGAAGATCTGAGCCAGCAGAAAGTCAGAATGGAGGAAGGGAAAGGAAGACCGGGTTCCAGACCCTCTTCCATCACATGGTAGATATGGGGTCCTGAGGCCCATTTAACCTCTCACCAAGGCAGGCAGCTGCACTGGTAGAAGGAGTTCTTTCATCCATTAGTTCCTGATGCCAATGGAATCACGGAACCAGTGTCCATCCTATCCAATTTACAGAAGAGAAAACAAAGGCTCAGAGACAAAAAGGCTCGTCAGGATCAGGCAGGTTTATTTCTTTTCTACCCTGTGTGACAAGGGAGTGGAAGGGATGACAGGAATGGAGTGCTGGGGAATGCATCAACATCCCCGCAAAGGGCAAACGTTTTTTAAAAAGCTTCCTGTGCAGCAGAGCTCGGACCTGCATTCCAGCCTCTAACTCCTAGCCGGGGGCTGCCCCCGCAGACATAATCCCAGCCCAGCAGAAGCTAGAGACTTTACAAGTTCAAACAAAGGTCCACAAAACAATAGACTGCCAACCAAGATATGTGAAAGCCAAGTCTCCCAAGGCCTGAAGTACAAGGCTTGGAGTTCCTGGTTTTGTGTAGGGGGAGTATGAGGAGGCAGGTGCTTCCCTGGGGTCAGAAGGCGAGTGTCTCATTTGCTCCTCAGCAGAGGGAAGGTTCTAAATTCTTCAGCAGAGGCATTCAGGGCGGGCAGGGTGGGGCAGCCCAGCCCATCCAGATGCCCCCAGTTCCTTCTTTCTGAATTCTGAGTCACTCACTAGACGTCGGTTAAGGTCCTTTACTTGTTGCCCTCTGCTGGTTATGGCTGCCTGCTTCCCTTCAGGAGATGCTCGCAGGGCAGTTGGAGAACTCAGACAGCTTGCAGCTGGACCAGTAAGGGTGAGAATGAAGAGGAGCCAGGGAGGGGCTGAGGTGAAGGGAGGGAGAGCTATTACTATACAGCTAAACGCAAGCTCTTGGAGGGCAGGGAGTACTCCTTGTCTCAGCATCCCCAGCGCCAGACACCTACTGGGTACTTAATAAATGCTGGCTGAATTGAACTAAATCCAAATGCTACTTAAATGAGGTAAAAAGCCATTATCTGGGGCAGCTAAGGGGGGGAAGTGCATAGAGCACTAGCGGCCTGGAGTCGGGAAGACTCATCCTCCGAGTTCAAATCCAGCCTCAGACACTTACTAGCTGTATGACCCTGGACAAGTCACTCAGCCCTGTTTGCCTCAGTTACCTCATCTGTAAAATGAGTTGGAGAAGGAAATGGCAAACCACTCCAGTATCTTTGCCAAGAAAACCCCAAAAGGGACCAGGAATAGTGGGACACGACAGAAAAACTACTGAACAAGAAGAACAACAAGCCATCAGGTCAAAGCCAGATCGGAGTCTTAACAGCTCCTTGGGTGGTGCAACGGCCCGGACGACAAGAGTTCGGATCCCAGCCCCACCCCACCCCCACTCATCACCTGTAGGAATCACAGCCTGTCACTTATCCTAGGGGCTGCAGTGGCCCCGAACTGAGAGTTTTCCAGCCCCAGGGCTCCAGTCCAATGAACCAGTTACCACCCCGCTCCTCCGACACAGCCGCAAACGGCTTGCCCAAGGTCACAAGCTCTGAGAGGCCGAGCGGGCTGGGGGCGTGGCCATTGCTACCTGGGGGCAGATGCCTTCGCAGGCTCCTACCGTGCACAGCACGGGCTTCGAGCCCGGCCCACCCCACCCCACCCCACCCCCCAGGTCCCGGCCGCCTGGGCCGGTCAGCTCACCCCCTGACAGCTGCTCTCTGGCAGCTGTCGCGGGGGAAGGCCCCGGCAGCCTCCCCAGGGACCGGAGCAGCGACCAGAGCTATATTCGCCCTCGGGGCTCGCTGCCAGAGCCTGCCGGGCGGCGCCTCCGGCGGGGCAGGGAACGCAGGCTGGGCCCGGCGGGCGGGAGACCCCCGTGGGGGCGCCTCCCGAGGGCGCGGGGCTGCGGGGAACGCCGGGCCGGGGCGCCGGCCGCGCGCCCCGCCCTCGCTCAGCTCCCTCCCTCCGCAGGAGAAGCGCTCCGCGGGGCGCCGAGGTTGCCTGGAAACGCCGCCCCCGGTTGCCTAGCAACGGGTCCCCTCTCTCGCCCTTCCCGGTCCCCCGACCCGCCCCAGCTTCGCTTCAACAGACCCCCGCGGCTCCCCGCTCCGCACACGTGAGCCCGCACGGCCACGGTGGCCGCGTGTCTCGCCCTCCCAGCCCGAGACGGCCCTCCCCGCCTCAGTTCGGACTCACTGGCGCCTGCGATGTCGGCCCTTCACGTGGGGATCCGCTATAAGCGCACCGCGGCCGGCCTCGGCGCCTCAACTCGGGAGCCTCAATTACTATCTGCGCCTGCGCGCTGCGGGAGGCGAGGGAAAGCCGCCCGCCCCAGAGCGGAGCAGCGTGCGCGTGCGCTCGGAGCCGAAAAGTCTCCACTAGTCAATAGCTCTCCTTACGACCACATCCCCAGCCCCGGAGCGCCGCAACTTGGCGCATGCGTCATGGCCGGTTCCAAAAAAAAAAAATTCAGGAGCGCTCAGAGTCCCTCCCCCTCCCCAGGCTGGGAGGCTGGCGCATGCGCCCTGCGCGGTCAAGTCCCAGCCCACAAACCGCTTCTTCACCTCCTTGCCTTCCCTGTACCTCCATTCAAAGGGACAGTCAGTTCTGCTGTAAGGCGCGAATTTGTTCCAACTTGATGGCCACGTCAGGCTAGCCCAGCGCCGAGCATTTGGCGTTTGCTCGCGGCCGAGTTTGCCCCCGAGAAGCGGCGAGAACGGCGAAATCGGCCTCGAGCCTGTGCCCCAGCCTGCTCGGAGCACGCAGGCGCAGACCGCCCGCAGCCGTCTGAGGGGCTCTCCTCGGAGGACCGTCTCCCCGCAAAAGGCCCGTCCCTCGCCCCTGGCCCGGCCATGTCCAAGCGCCCCGGCTCCAAGCTGCCCGGCGGCGGCAAGAAGAAAGCGCTGAGCATCGAGGAGAAGCTGGACATCATCGAGCGCTTTGAAGGCAACGAGAGGACGTGCGACATCTCCCGCGCCACGGGCCTCAAGGAGTCCACGCTGCGCACCATCCGCGACAACGCGGTGAAGATCAAGGAGACGTCCCGCACGGGCAGCGGCACGAGAGCCGCCAAGGCCACCCGCGCGCGGCCCAAGGAGATCGAGGAGATGGAGCGGCTGCTGAGCCTGTGGATGGAGGACGAGAGGTCGGGCGCCACCTTCCTGACGGCCAAGGGCAAGGCGCTGTCCATCTACGCCGACTTGAAGCGCAAGTCGCCCAACCCCGGCGACGTGGCGCCCTTCCGGGCGAGCTGCGGCTGGTTCAGCGGCTTCAAGCACCGCTACAACTTCCAGAGCCTGCAGCTGCTGGGCGAGGCGGCCAGCGCGCAGCTCAAGGCGGCCAAGGAGCTGCCGGCGCTCATCCAGAAGCTGGTCAAGGACGAGGGCTACACGCTCGACCAGATCTTCAACTTCGACGAGACGGGCCTCTACTACAAGCGTATGCCTCGGCGCACCTACATCTCCAAGGCGGAGAAGCACGGCCCCGGGCCGAAGGCGGCCAAGGACCGAGTCACCGTGATGGTCGGGGCCAACGCCAGCGGAGACCTGAAGCTGAAGCCCGTCGTGGTGTATCGCGCGGCCAACCCGCAGGCCCTGAGAGGCATCGTGAAAGCCAGCCTCGGCGTTCATTACCGCTATAGCAAGAAAGGATGGATGACCGCCCAGATCTGCGTCGACATCTTTGCCGACTTCTTCCCCGTTTTAGAGGATTATTGCAAGAAAAAGAACCTGGCTTTTAAGATTCTCATAATTATTGACAATGCACCAAGCCATCCCCTGACCATAGCTGAACTCAACCCGAATGTCAAATTCGTCTTTTTGCCTCCAGAAACCACCTCCCTGATTCAGCCCCTTGGGCAAGGGGTGATAGCTCTGTTTAAGGCTTACTACCTGAGGCGAACATTTAAGATGCTACTAGCAGCCACGGGAGGTGAGAATGCAGAAACTGTTCTAGAATTCTGGAATAGATTTAACATCAAAATGGCCATCGATATCATCGTTGAAGCCTGGAACGACGTCACCAAAGAGTGCCTGCATCGTGTGTGGAAGAAAATGCTCCCGGACTTGATTCATGACTTTAAAGGATTTGAACCTTCGGATCAGTTAAAGAAAATCAAAGCAAGCTGTGTTGATTTGGCAAAACAAGTTGGATTTGAGGGGATCAAGAAAGAGGACGTGGATGAGCTTCTAGAGTCTCCCCCTGATCACCTAACCACCGAAGACACGCCACAACTTGCTGCCGAAGGGCAGGCGGAGGCAGAAGATGATGAAGATGACGACAGCCAGAAGGCTACCCCGAGGCAGCTTGACACGTCACAGTTATCAGATGTTTTAGGTGTCATTGAAAAGCAGCTGCAATGGCTTGAAGAGAACGACTATAATGCTGAACGCAGCAGAATAGTGGCTAGGGGCATCCGGACCAATTTGGAACCATACCGGCGTCTTCAGTATGAAAGGAGGAGGCTAGCGAAGCAGCAGCAATTGTATGTATATTTTAAGCCAGTACAGAGGAAACAGGAAGTCAATGCCCCGACCGCATCTGGCGGTCCAACTTCTCGTCTGCCTTTGGATAACCCTCCTTCCACCACTTCGACATAATTCACAGGCTGCAGCCCTTCGGCTCTAACCCACTTCAACAGGCAGACTTCGGGTCTTTTTCCAGGTGAAGTGCTATTTAACATGTATGAAACCGTGCTACCATTTAAAAAATTATGTTTCTATTTTTTTTAACGTGTTATTTACAGAGCCTTTGAGTGTGGTACCCTGACTCCTTTTCCCCCATAAGCCCTGTGGCTTGATGGCTCGATTTTGCATAGGAAGGCGGGTTTTTAGGAACAGGTGGATTGAGTTATTGCATAACTGGCTGTATCTTATTAAGTGGCTCCTACGTGAGGACCCCGAGTCGGGGGGACGTCGAGATAAAACAATGGACAAATCAGCACGCATTTATGAAGTGTGCTTACTAAGAGCCAGGCACTGTGCCAAGCCCTGGAATACAGAGAAAAAGAGTTGTCCCTGCCCTCATGGAGCTTACAGACTTTTAAAAAAGAACTCTGATTGGTGTGCCTTGTCTTTAAGCCTTCTCATGTCCGCCTCCCAGTAAAAAGGAGACTTTTAATTAAAACCAGTCCACAGTCTGAGGTTCTGTCCCGGAAAAGCCCACCATACTCTACAGCCACAGAACCAGCCTCTCTGTGGAGGGAAGGAAGGTGTCTTTCCTCACCTGCTTCTATTCCCAGGCAGAGACGCGCCATTACAATTGTTTTACCAGGTTCCTAGTTTCTTCCAGAAACATTATAGATAATGTTACTGTATCTCGTAGAATCAGTGGAATCTTGGAGTGACAGTTTGCCATTGGATGGGGAGGCAGAGTTTAAATGTGATTCTGGAGTTACTGGAAATAGCGATGGCTGAAGCCAGGGTCGGGAGAAAAGGATTAAGAACTTATTTCTTAGGAGAACTGAAGGGAAAGGGTGGGAAGGGGAGAAGGGGAGGGACAGAAGTCAGAATTTGCTGATTAAAAAAAAAAATTTAATTAAAAAAAAAAGAAATTTCATCTTCCAGGAACTCTGTGCTTCCCTTTGAATCAACAAGCATTTATTAGAAGTTTGCAGTGTATGTGCCAGGCCCTGTGCTGGCTTTGGAGCCAGGAAGATAAAAACAAAGCAGCCCCTGTCCTCAAGGAGCTTAGAGTCTGCCTCCCACTGGGGAGTCAGGTAAACAGATAAGTAAATACAATCTATGTACGAAGTAAAAAGAAGTATTTTGGGGGGATGGGGGGGGAGGGCACTAATCATCCAGAAAGGTCTCAAGTAGGAAGTGGCTTGGGCTGAGCCTTGAAGGCAGGTAAGGAGGCAAAAGTGAGGAGTGAAAGTGCACCAAGCTTGCCTTGTGCCAAGGTCTGGCAGTGAGAAGTAACCAGCTCTAGAGCTGACAGAAGCCCCAGAAGCCACAGCTCTGCCTCATCAATTCACACATTGTAGGGAGGGAACCTGATGCCCAGAGGAGTTAGGCAACTACCTCCAAGACAAACAGGAAAGCAGCAGAGGCGGTCATTGAATCCAGGTCCTTGGATTCCAGACCTACACTGCGTCCTGTGAAATGTTACAGTCCTGACACAATGATGGATTCAGTGCAGATTAAGACATATCTTTTTAGGCCAAGGCCAAATTGTTTTGACTAAGCATATTTGTTACAAAGGTTTTGTTTTTCTTTCTTGGGAGGGGGGCAATTTGGAAGTGGGAGGTAGAAAAGATATATTTTTAATTGACAAAAAATAAATTCAATTTTAGAAAGATATTATGGGGAAAACTACCAGGAAAAATGGTGATCTATTTGTCAGAAAATAGATTTAGCTCAGCATTTGTACCACATTCCACGATAAGTTCCAAATGGATACTTGACCTAAATGTAAAAGTAACATCAGGAAAAAAAAATCAGTAAATCAAAGGAGGTACCTTTCACAATTATAGATAAGGAAATCCTGAACTATACAAGGGGTAGAGCTGTTCCCAAGAGGTACAATGGAAGGGAAAAAACCCTGGAAATTAACCTTTATCTCGGGAGGAAACAGGAAAAGAATTCATGAGGAAAGATTTTAATAGGCATGCCCGAGAGAAAGCAAATGGTGGGACTGTGTTTCCAGAACTAAGTCAGCTCTTATGGTTAAAGGTAACTCTGTGAGCTTTCTCACAGCAGACGTAGTATAAATAGTTTTTGGTATATTTGTTTTTATTGTTGATTACTCTGCTAATAAATTTTACAGCCAGCAACTTTGATTATTATTTCAGTCTAGAAGATTAAGAGATTTGACAGAGATGATCAAGAGCTCTTAAGAAAAGGGTGAGAGATCACTTGATGATGTAATTGATATGAAAGATGTGGTAAATGTATTTGTGTGACATGTACACTTTGACCTTCTCCCCTAGGGCCAGGTAGGTACATCTCTCCTACTTCAGGAGTTTGTATCTCTTTTCTTTGCCAACGGTTTGAGCCCCACCAGCTCTGTTTGCCTCATTTTGGGGGCTAGTGACTAGCACCCCAGTTCCACTTAACCAGTTAATACTGATTGGCTTTTACAGAGATATTTACTTTAAAGATACAGCAAGAGTAAACACAGGATAAGTATTTCCCCACCACCCAGCGGCATAATAACCACGCTCCTCCTAGACTCCTAACTTAGCTCCAGTTACTGCATAATACCAAGAGAATGTCCAAAGGTGGCACAGATGCCAGATGAGTCTTGTTGAGCTGGGGTTCTGATGCCAGGCTGGGTAACACCTGGGCTGGATTCCAACATGCAATGCATAGATTCCTCTAACTCTCACTCTTGACCTTGATAAGAGGCTCTACTCTCTTTACCGAGAACAGAAAAGAAGAAACAAGCAGGCCAAGGAGACCTCAATTCTCAGGGACCATATAGTCTCAAAGAAGAGGACGGGAGGCCTCATGGCCCTTCCCTTGATCCCATGGTATCACTCTCTTGATGAGAGTCACAGAATATCTCCAGGAACGGAGCAAAAATGAGCCAAAGTACTGACTCAGGCTTTTTTGAAGACACCAACATTTCCAGATACAAAACCAACAAAGCAAGACTCTTCCCAACCACGTGGCTGGTCAACTGGAGCCAGCTGCAGAACATCCACACCTGCTCCAGTCTCAAAGTACGTCCATGTGAAGGTGATCACGACTCTCTGAGGAGCAGGCTCCAAGCCTCTTCACTTGGAAAGGCCCCATTTCAGGCAGCCTGAGGGTTTGCCAGATCTCAGTTACACTTGCAACTTTAGGACCTTCTTGTTTTACTGAAAAAAATGGAGGCCATTGGAAGGGATCTCCTTCCTGTCACATTCTCTTCATCTCATCACCCACTCTCTCCTCCCCCCACCAGTCTCTACAAAGACATCCCTCTTGCCAACGTCAACACCTCTGTTTTTGTGATAGATGCCATCCCTTCGTGTCTTCTCCTGAAGACTGAATCCTCAATCCTCACCCCACCCCGCAATCTTCAGCCTCACCCTGTCAGTTGGTATACAGGGGAAATTTAATTGGAGATAATCTCAGAGGGGAAACACTAGCCTTGAGGGAGTGTCACTCTTCAAGCTTTAGCAATCTGGCTTTCCACCTCAACTCACATTGTTCTAGCTAAAATTACCAACTGCCAAATTCCATGGTCTTTTCTCCGTCCTCATCCTTGTCTTAACCCATCAGCTGCATTTGAGGTGTTTAATCAACTTTATCTTCTGGAAACTGGCCACTCTTTTCTGATTAACCTCCACTGATGGGGTGCTTGAGTGCCTATACTCTGGTTCTTGAGGGGCCCTAAACCTCTCAAACCGCATCACTGCCTATCTGAGCACTCCTCAACCTCCTTTGCTAATTCTTCACCCTAACGACTGTGCTATCCCACATCGCCCAATGTGGGTGTTCCCCAGCTCTGTCCTGGGTCCTGAGGCAGCTGGTAGTATAGTGGCTAGAGTTCTGGGCCTAGAATCACTAAGACCCGAGTTCAAAACCAGCCTCAGAAACTTACTATCTCTGTGACCCTGGGCAAGTCACTTAACTTGAGTCAGTTTTGTAAAATGGGGATAGTAATAGCATCTACCTCCCAGGGTTGCTGTGAGCATCAAATGAGACCTTTGTAAAGCATTCTGCCCTGTGCCTGGCACATGGTTGGAACTAGATAAATGCTTATCCCCTTCCCCTCTTCTCTTTTCCCTCTGCCGGGGGTTCTCAAGCTTTTCTGTGCTGAGAACTCCTTTGGAAGTCCGGTGAAGACTATGGATCCCTTCTCAGAAAACCATCTTCTGCATGAAGCCTTTCCTGACCCTCCCGACCTTGGCCCCCCTCCTAAACTAGCTTGTGTTTAAGTACTTTGTATACGTGTTTGTATTTGTCCACTTTGTATTGATGCTGTCTATATTTTTATATGTACTTCTCTCCCCATTAGTGTAAGCCACTACTCCCTTTAAGAGTAGCGATTATTTCACACTTTGTGCTTGTCCTCCCAACACCTCACATAGTAGGTTTTTAACAAAAACCTGTTGATTGACTGAAAAATAAAAACAGGGTAAGAATAAATAAGGAAAATGAACTCAAGACACAGAGAGAGTTTGGAGAAAGGTGATTTTTCCCACCTAGGCTATCTGTGAGGTAGAACCTAAATCCTTGTCACCCACTCATTCATTCATTCATTCATTCATTCATTCATTCATTCATTCATTCATTCAACAAGCATTTTTTAGGGCCTGCTATGACCCAGGCACTAGGCTAAATGCTGGGGATAAAGAAGTGCAAAGAAAACAATGGCAATCTTCAGAAGGCAGAAGGTTAAGCTCTCCTGGGGGAGACCCCAAAGTACATTCACACGCCCAAAGAAACCTTCAGTCTCTACCGAGCAAACATAAAGTCATTTCTGAGGGCATTCTACCTCTCCTTCAGTAGTGCTTGGACTGGGCTTTGAGGAAAGGCAAGAAAACAGAGACAGACATGGGGAGAGAGGGTGTCCCACATATTTCGAATAGCCTGAACATGCCAGAAGCCAAGAATAAGAAGTAGGACAGTTCACTTGGAGCTTGGCCGTCATTTAGCACTGGCCTCAT